AAATTAGTGGCATCCCGTCTTCCAGCCGTTTCCAGGATTTTTGTGTCGTTTTCCCCTTTTTCTTCCGCAGGACTGTCGTCGGCGCCGGGCGTCTCATTAGATATGTTCATTTTCGCAAAAGTATTAAAATGTCGAGGGGGCGGGGTCCTATCTCGTTCTCTGTCCAAAAATAGGCATAAAAATATTTTTTTCAGATTTTTTGGACCCAAGTAAAAGGTCGCGCCGGCCCGTCAAAGTTAACATGCAAGTCTTATGGGACAAACGGCTAAAAAGTGTTTTTCGCCTTTTTCTCTTTCAGTTTCAATTATTTTTGAATTCTGTTTGGAGAAATGGAATCTACGCGTAAAAACACGTCCGGTGACATACGGTACGGCATATTCGTACCAATAGTTTTCGTGCTGTGCTACGCCGAAAGAGTCCAAAAAGGCTAAAATTTCCTTTATTTTAGAAAAAAAATATTTTTGTTTTGAGTGCAACAACTCCGAGCGGCACATCACCGGGCGTGTTTTTACGCGTAGATTCCATTTCTCTAAACAGAATTCAAGAAAAATTGAAACTGAAAGAGAAAAAGGCGAAAAACACTTTTTAGCCGTTTGTCCCATAAGACTTGCATGTTAACTTTGACGGGCCGGCGCGACCTTTTACTTGTGTCCAAAAAATCTGAAAAAAATATTTTTATGCCTATTTTTGGACAGAGAACGAGATAGGACCCCGCCCCCTCGACATTTAAATACTTTTGCGAAAATGAACGTATCTAGCGTCTCATTACCATACAAGGGCGCGCCGAGACAAGTTGGGAGGAAGTCAGATGTATTGCCATCCAATGAAGGCCCTCCTGGCCGCATCGAGCGACTGCGGACTACAGAGATGCACCCAGAGCGTCACGCGTGGCAAAGCTTTAGAGTCAGTCGACTCTTCTCGACGTGGTGACCCCTACTTTGGTTCACCAATTTACGCGCGCCCGAGCCTCCCTGCAAGCAGGTTAGGTTGTCCCCCAGCAATGAATTTATAGCCGAGATAGAGTGCTTTGTGTGTTTTCTTCTTTGCTCTTTTTCTTGTTCTTTGCTTGCAGGCTATGCTGCTGCTGCAGGCGCCACCGGCTGTCTGGACCAGCATCAGCCACCCACGGTTAGGGCGCCCCCTCTCCCCCCACCCCGCCGAGCGACGGGCGGCGGCGCCAGGCACGGCGGGGCAGGTGCCCCCTCTGCGTGGCGCTTGTTCAGACGGGGAAGGTTTGACTTTGTCACAAAAAGAGGGAGAGGGTCGGATACTTTTCACACGGGGACGAGGAGAGGCCCGGCCGGGCGGCTCCTAATTGAGTCGGGACTGCAAACACGGGCCGAGCCGGGCCTTGCCAGGGGCGGAGCGGGGGGCGCCGTCGTGTCCACAAAGCGCCGCTCGGCGACAAGTTACGTTACGATTAGGTCGGGTTATTGTTGTGGGCAACGTCTACTTAACAACGTTTCGAACAGTTTAAATGTTACCTACACCGGTACGGGAGAAACAAAGGTACCGAGTCGCGCCTGTCAACAGATGTTAGATATTTTTAGAATTATTCAATGATGCGATTGGACCGATTTGGCTTCTCTTTGTTTATCCCGCTACAATCTGAACCTTACGGGCCAGGATCCCATCGTGCGGCGTCGTCCTCGATCTTTCGTGTTACTCACGCTCTTTCGGGCCCGCTGGGCCGGGGAGGGAGCCTTGAGGCGGCGCTAATCGGTTCCGTCAATAACGCGAAGCCATTCGCACCTCCTTCGTCTCCGGAACGCCGCCGCATTTTAAATGTTTGCCAATTTCCCGCTCGTGTGCGCGTCTTGCTTGCGCTGGTGTGAAGTGAGGAGCCAGTCAGTTCGCTCTTTTACACGCAAATCGCGGTGGTTCTTCGTTTGCCCAACAACATCCCAGTAACACTCGCCCGGAGCCCCTCTCGTTATAATCAATAAAATCGTCCAACGCTCGCTCGGCACACATGTATAATATTTTGTGTTGTGTTGCAAAGCTCAGCAGCAACACATCTCTTCCCCCTCTCACTCTCACGACCAACAAATATGCCACGC